CCCAACAGCATTGTTTCACAGTGAGTCACTTGCTGCCAATACTCCACCTTTATTACTCTTCTGCCCTGTTTCTGCCAAAAGCATGTTTCATCAAATAAACCTCCAATCGAATGGAAGGATTAGAAAGCATTAGTGAGCATTAGTAACAACAAACTGGAATAGTTTAATGGTTGTAGATTCCACTTTGACTTCTTCTAGTCACACTTCAGCTTTGCATGAAAAATTCTGGGGGATGTTTACTATATTCAGGAGGTGTGTTACTACAGAAACACTGTACTGAGGTTTTTTTTCATCTATATTCTATGTAAGATGGGGAAATAACATGATAAATTATGCTCTAAAACTGTCAAGAATACATTCAATGGTTAGCTGAATTTATATTGGTGATGTATCAATATATTTGACATTGCATACGTATTTTTGGCACTTCCCTCCAAATGTCAAGCAATGAACTTGAAGCAGTTTATTTGCAGTCAATTAGTAAAAATAACCTAAATGAAAAAAAAGACTGACGTATTTAAAGCATTGAATTTGATGAAAAGCAATCAAACCTGAAGTGTGTAGGAGAGCAAGCTCTGATTGTATAATTTCACCTAGTACCAAAGTGCTCCATAGTGCCTACCACAGAAACGAGGTGCGCTGTCCAGATCACAAAAATCTTCTCCAGTGTGGTTTTAAGGTAAGATAGAAACAGAAGAGGCGGCAGAAAGGTCTGGAGCTAAGCTAGTAAGATTACATGGTATTTCAGGCAAGTATTCCTAGTATAGCATAGTGGCATAAATGGTGCTTGTGCTCTTAATTAAACCAAATACATCTTATAATTATTACAATACTAACAAAGAGGAAGTGCAAAAGTTTTGGGAATTGGTCTATGGAAGTCAGTAAATGAAATAATGAAAGATACCAGTCTATAACGATTTGTTGGATACCTAGGGAAGAAGCAGCTATTTAAAATGTTGTGAAAGAGGTAAAATGATTTGGTTATACAGGTACTTAATTAGGATTTCATGTTAAAATTCAGAATGGCAGTATAAACAGGACGGGCAGCGAATGGTTTGCATTTGGGCAGAAAGTCACACTATATGGAAATAATCTTACCTTTGATTCTTCACAACATCCATAGATATACATACTGGTGCTTACTAATGGCAGCCACCAGTCTGAGCAACCAGAAGAAAGATGTGGACTTCATAGTGTTCTTATCACCTTGATAAAACTCCTACAGCCTAAGTGCTTATGAAGATGTGCAGACTCGTATTAGTAATGATTTAGAGGGCCTCCTGTCTCCACATATATGGAGTAACATCCTGCTATTGCTGCTAAATTTGAAGTTAAGATACTGAGATTTGGGCGTTTTGTTTGAAGAAATAAAAGTAGCCAAGATGCCTCAGACAAACTCAACTCTGAGTTGTTAACGTGGGGGGATTATTTGCCCAACAGCCCTCTGTTAGACACTGCCATCTTATGGACTGAGAAACAGCTGCACAGAGGAGTCAATGCTTGCAACAAACAAGAGCTGTGGTCTAACGTTCCAGCGAGCTTTCACCTGGTTTTGGCCCAAAGACAACAGTTTTTGTGCATAAGGCCTTCAATAAGGAGAATGGGAATAAGCAAATCTAAAGTTGGCTACGTCTTCCCATGGCAGAGCGCTGGAGAAAGAGATGCAACTGTCCTCCCTCCTGCTGAGGCATGTAAAGGATTAAAGAAAAGGAACACTTGAATTCTTACTTTGTCACGTGGTTCACCTGATCTTCTGAAGTATTTCCAAAGCTAGAAGGAAAAGGTGCACATACTTACAGGCCTGGCATTACTTTGGACATGGTTCCAAAATGTTTATTGGAGCATGTGCATTTTAGAATGAAAAAATGTATATGCAAGACAATGACCATTGATGTATTAAGGAGAAAAAAAACCAACCCACCAGCTAAGATGACTCAAAATTGCTATTTGAGATGATGATAAAAGGAAGACATTGAAAAACATTGTGTCAAGATGCAGATCTGGGAAGAAAAATTCCTCAGAATTTAGTTGGTAAAACAGTTCACATTTTTTGTGGTTGTTGGTAAATTCCCCTTTTCCTTTTTTTTAATGGCTTCATTCACTATGTTTGAGTTTTCAAACTACAGAACCCTTCAAGTTTCTGTACCTGCAAGCCACAGGATCCCCTCGACAACTCAACATGGATGTAAAGCTGAAAGATAGTTTGAGAAAATTGCAAATTAAATATGCTCTACATGTAAGGACATTCCTTGACAATCATTTCAAGGTAAAAAGACTGGCAAATTAACATCGCTTCTGTGTACAGTACTTTATCAGAGAAACAAAATTGTGTTTGGCACCTGTATTAAGCACTGGGGTGCAGAAAGATATAATGCAAAATTTTAAGATATTGATATCAGTTATAGAAATAATGCAGTAGTTACACATCCAAATTAACCTGTATGCTATAAATGCAGGGGAAGACTTTAAGTTCTCCTGTATATTTCATAGAGGAAATTTAAGACTATCCATTTTGCCAAGGGGCAATATGGAAAAATGGGTAAGACTTTCAGCGTAACAGTTCAACACGTTTTATTTCAATATTTTAAATATAAATTAAGATTTGACAAAAATTATTTATACTTGAAGCTACAAAATAAATACCCCAGTATTCACTTTTATGATTCAAATGAGTCTGGCAAAAAATAATTGTTGCCACAAAACACCCCTGAAAAACTATGATTCAAAAATAATTCCTTTTATGTCATCACTTAAACATATATGCATCAGTAGATGTGCAGCATAATTGCATCCGTTTTCCTTAGAAAGTGGACTGATTATCGGAAACAATTTCATTTTAAGTCTGCCATTATTCTTTTTAACATTTGTGTGTCTTTTGGAAGGTTTCAATGGAAAATACTGCTCATTTTATGCATAATAACGGTAAATGCCTCTGAAAGAAATGCATTTTACGTATTAATACTTTTATATAAACTGTTTCATTGTGAGTCATTCTGGGATAACAAAAGCTACCAACTTCTACTCTGTGCACACTTAACATATATAAATTATTTTACACTCATAATGTTCCTGCTGAAATGCTTTTTCACTCAAGTATGTCTTTAAATTAGATGTAATTTTTTTTTCAAAGAAATAGCATGACCTACATTGAAAGTACAATCCTTTGCACTGTTGCAATCTAAGCACGAACTTAGTCATCACTTATTCAAGATGCTAATATTTACTCATCTCTTGTTTGTAAACACAGGTGGTAATTAACCTCGGACTCAAAATTAGAGGCCGCGGCTTAAGATCAGGCTCTAAACGGATGGCGACTGGAACAAAACAGCTGACTGACAGCAGGGTGTTCTGCCCGTGGTACCCCACGACGTACGGGGAGCGGGGAGGGCTATTCCAAAGGAAACAGACCTTGTCCCCATCCCCTCCCACAGAGCCACTGCTGCGTGTGGCCGAGGGGAACTGACCTCTCTGCCCACCCGCCTGTCTCCACACACCACCACGCCTTCGCTGCCCCTCTCTCCCCATGCAGAAACTGCAGTCCTCTCTTCAGCAGACTTGCACCTGAGGACAGTAGGCAGCAATTGATTCCTACTATAGATTTTGTTACTATAAATCTTATTTTTACTATAAATTTTATTACAGTAGCTGTAACAATGCTGTATAATAATAATATTAATACTACCCATTATATAAATATATTAAACAATATTTAATCTAATTAAATATTGAATTTAATCATTACCCTATAGAAGCTATCTGTGCTAGAAATATGCAATAGTCTAAACTGTCTACATGCCATTGACCAGCTGTTAAATATTGAAGTGAACATAAAATGTTCAAATTAACACGGATGAATTTTGTCCAGAAAGCTACTGCTGTTAGTTTTGTACTTTCATTTTAGAGACTCTTGTCTCAGGAAGTTATATAAACAGAAGGACAGATGTTTATATAGTTTGCATTATCACGGTCCCATAAAAGCTAGACAGAATTAGCCTAAGACTAGTGCAAATTTTGCCTCAAGGTCTTAAATGATTTATTTCTAGTTTACTCCTTTATTGACATTATTGATAGCGCAAGTTGAGAACAATTCCCCCCCCCCCCCC